TATATATATATATATATATATACACATACATAGAGAGATAAAAAAATTCTTATATACACAATCATTTTTAAATAGTAATATTTAAATATTACTGTTTTTACTGTATTTTTGATCAAATAAATGCAGTATTGGTGAGCATGTGAGACTTTTCAATAACATTAAAAAAATCTTAATCATTCCAGAATGTAAATATAATAAAACAAATCATTGTTTAGGATAATACAAGTTCCTGTGTACCATTTATGCCTTTTCCTTCTTATTTGTTATTTTATTAACCTTTTTTTATTTTTTTTTTCAATTTTTTTAATTGAAATGTCAAGTGAAGACCTGTAGACCTAGTATTTACACAAAGCCGAGTGTATTAACATAGAACAAAAAGCTTAAAAATGACCAAAAAACAAGCACTTTGTGAAAACAATGCAAGAAAATCTATCCATGGTTACATGAGATTTTGAAATGATAAATCCTGTCAAAAATGTTACAAAGCTGACAGAACAACTGATGCAGGCATTTACATGCAAAGATCTACAGTGATCAATAAATTAACTGTGCTTTGATTACAGTCAATATGAAACCGCATTCAAAACTCATTTTAATCCAGTAACGGGATATTTTTCTGAATGAAACAGGATATTAAAAATATAGGTCATGACTTGATTTTATTCAATGGGAATTGACTGGATTGTGAAAAGTCAGACCTCAATATTTTGTATTCTGTGTAATACCAATCCCCAGTTTTTATTTGGAATAAAGTACACTGATTAATCATTTACACAATAAGAAACCCAGAAACATTTATTAAGATAAATACAAGTATTACAAATATTAAGTAAATACAATCCATCCATAGCCTTTTCCAAAAACAACAAAAAACATTTAGGACATTTTTACATGAACTTACACGTTATCAGCTTATCATAGGCACTGTAGAATCATGTATGTAAACACACTGCTGTTTTCACAACACTTACCTATGGTGGCGTTGGCAGCCATGTTGTACCCGTAGTCAAAACTGACAAAGGTCAGATAAGACACATGAGACGTGAAGGCCAGAATGAGCAGAACTCCCACCATACTGGAAATTGCAGGCCTACGCAAGCCCAACGTCCTGAAACACAAATATCAATCCTCAAATCAACATCATAAACTAAAGCAATAAGCCCCAAGAAGCCGTGGTTTACAGTGAATTTATAACAGCTAAGGGGCGTTGTTAGAAAACCCCTAAAAACCCCTTAGCTGTTTTAAATTCACTGTAAACTACGGCTTCACTGGGATTATTGCTTTTATAAAACAGTTATTCCATATACGTAG